GATTTCAGTTTTCAAGAACAAAGCTCATGTTCAAAACTGACTTGCAATTCCCTGAATTGTGAGCGGCCAGCCTCTCCAACACCATCACCATCCCTCACCTCCTGTGCATGGTCTTTTCAGTGACTGCTGCCATTGTGTTAATTACAAGCTCACAAACGGAGTTAGAAGGAAGAGGGACACAGATCCTCTTAGAGTGTAGTTACTGTTTGTTACAGCTCATTTACTGTATCCTTGTGTATATGCAAAGTGGCCTGCATGCCCAGCACAGCCTTGGTGCAGCGCTGTCCCCACTTACAGGTGTTGAGTGTGCCCAACTGCTGGCACCCCACCCCCAGTGAGTGATCAGTTTATGGCCATCCAAGTCCTCAAGATGGCCATGGGAGAGTGTCTCTACACACCCTGCTTCAGCCCTGAGGGACAATCAGGGATCTGTCTGCTTTGGACCTGCTGTCCTTCACAGCAGTCCCAGAGCCTCTGGGATGTCAGCCACAGCCAAGTAAAGATGTGGCCCCTGAGTGGCCATCCAGCTTGACTTCCATCAGCATGAATCACTCAAGAGACTGGACTCTGTTCTTGGCGTTAAAGATACAAATCAGCAAATCAGATTCATCCCCTGCCCTCAAGTTCACAGCCCAGAAAAAGATTCCAAGAAGGAAATATACTCTACAGACAGAGTTGCAAGTGATAGTGGATATCTGGACAGGAAATGCTACCATTTGCGGAGCACATAACAAGATTGAGGGAACTGGTACTTACAGCATATGGAGCCAAAGGAAGCTGCATTCCAGGCAAGAGACCAGCAGGTACAAAGTTCCTGGAATGGAAGGATACAGACTCCTTAGATTCCTTGGATACAAATACTGTTGTCATAGTAGCAGGTGACACTGATGGAGCTCTATCTGTGCCGGCTTCCCACCACCTCAAATACGCTTGCCCATTTGGTCCAGCTTAGGCACACACGGCTTGATAAACTCTGTGTTTGCCATTGCTATACTGTGCATGACGATGTTGGGCACACATGGATAGGAATTACCTACCTTTACACAGCTCATGAGTGGCAGGGCCAAGATTTGAACCAAGCCATCTGGCTCTCTGCAGGCTACTTCTTAAGGTCTCTCTCAGTGATCTGATCTCTAAGAGGAGATGGAGCATGAGAGGCAAGGAAACCAGGGATGGGTAGAGCCTGATCCAGCTGGCTCAGGGGGACCTGCTGGCCAGTACATCTGTCAAGGCCATTTTGTTCATGAGCAACAGCATGCTGAGCCAAGCCAGCCAAGTGAGAAGAGACATCATGGTCTGCTTACCTAGAAAATTGTAGGCTTCAGGCCTGGCTTGATCTAAGGACCAAGTGGCACCACCAGTGCACAGTGTATCTGTCCTTCTCTGTTTTGGCTTCTTACCTCTTAGAGAAGCTCTGATCTGCATCTCCAGCCTTACTATCCCTTAAGTCATGATTCAAAGCCCTTGAGAAAGGTCTGCTCCCTCTTCCCAGTGATCTAAGGTGATGTCCAAGGTTGTTTCTGTCTCAGCCCAGAGTTTCATAGCTTACTCATCTGTGAACTAGTCACTATAGCCAGATGGACACTGTCATTACCCCAGCAAAGGTGAGGACCACAGTCCCAGAGGCCATAACAGAGTCACACTAGCCTTCTGGGCTGTGGAGACTCCATACAGAAATAGAAACCCAGATATGGAAGAGAGGCATGGAGACTGAGTGGCCAACAGACAGATGTCACTCTTCAGGCCCATCCAGGATTGGGCCAAGGAAAATGAGAGCTCCAAGAAGAGGATGCCTTCTGAGCTCTACTAGCAAAGCCAGTAGCCCAGGGAGGAAGGGCCATCCCTACCTGCCTTGGTGGGAAGTGAACTCCAGTGGTCCTCAAAGAGACCATAGCCTATTGGAGACCTTGAAAGAGGGTCCTCTTTTGGCTTGCAGAGGTCCTGGGGCCAGGGTGGGGCTTTGTAAGTCAGGAGAGCTGAATCTCCCCATGTGACCTTTAAATTCAGCCAATGGGGTCCACAGCCAAATGACTCTCTGCATGCAGCAATGGGCCACCCTTCCTACACAGTGCCTCCCAGGTATGCACCCTGCTTTAATCTGTCTTATTTTCATCCAAGTGGTAAGAAAATGGTCACCACTTATAGCTCCATTGATTTCCAAATCCTCCATGGCTTCTTTGAAGTATCTTCTCTGAGATCCCCTCTTTCCTTTTGCAGGCTTTCTAGAGGCAATGAGGCTGTGGGGAGCTAGGTCACACCTGGCCTTTTGAAAACTGTTAGGCTGATCAGAGAGGACAAGATTGGACAAAAGGCTCTTCATTCCCTCCAGGGCAGTCCCAGAGGCCTTGCAGGGGAAAACCAAGTGCATTTGATCAAATTAGTTTTAGCTGTCTCCACCCATCAGGTCATAGGGACTGGCTTACCACAGCATCATTGTAGACCAGTGGGAAGGAGGAGCTGATGGACAAAAGCCAGTGCACCCAGACATTGCCCTCCAGGGAGAGGAAAGGAGGACTTCAGGCTGAATGGAAGCACAGTTGTGAAATAGTTTAGCAGATGTTGGACAGTTGCTACAGATGCAGAATTAGAATACGGTAGATTTTGAATATATGTATGTATCTTTTTTGGTCAGCTCAAGATGTGACCATACTCCATGTTTAGATGGATGGGGATGCTCCTCAAAAATAGGTCATAGTAGATCAGAATCCAGGTTTTCCTCCACAGGCTGGCACACAAGTAGAGACAGCCAGGGTGTGAGTCCTGGAGATCTGAAATATGGATGGACATAGAACTCAGCAGTATCCTGGCCCTGTAGATATGCATGGTAACCCTTTCATGGTGGCCTGGCACTAACACCTTATGTGGCAGTGACCAGTGATTACAGGATTATCTGGTGCTTGGTAATGACCTGGCAGCAGGTTTGTACACAGTAGGTACTTAGCAGTGGTCTTATAGGCTCCTCTCCATGTCTGACTGCTAATGCTGGCAAGGGGTGCTCAGACTAGGCATGGGCTCCTGAATTCCACCACTAGTAGCCAGAACGGCAGAGGAGGTCACCTGAGGGGTCGCTGAGCTGATCCACAGAGATCCAACAGCTGTCACAGTTATCTAGTTTTGGCCTCTCTTGTCTGCTGACTGCCTACTCCAGGCAGGCCTTCTTTGATACTCTTCCACTCAGAGAACAGCTCCAGCTCGTGACATATCTCTAGTCACCTCAGGGCACTATTCCTGGAGGAGCCCAACCCAGTAGCTGTCCAGAGCAACACTGAAGAGTAAATAAGGAGTTGGCATTGATCCTGTGACTCTGGAGACAGGATCCCACTGATTCCCAAAGCAGGCCCTGCTGTGGGGAGACAGGCACTGCTGTCCTCTGGTAAGCAATATGCATCAGCCTGTCCTTCCTGAGTGACCAGTCACAGCCTGACACAGTAAGAAATCTTAGACCTGAACCTAGTTTTCAATGAGGTCACCAAGCCTGATGCTCACAAAGACCAACAGCTCTTTATAGCAGGAAAACACATAGTCACTTCAACTTCAACAGCATCACCTCAGACAGGTAAAAACTCAGAAACCAAAGGATCACCAGGCAAGTGAAGCCACCCCAGGCAACTCTGATCTCCTCCAGGGAAGCCACTCTTGACAAAGGAAGATGTCTAGGTACTTGAAGACAAAATCACATCATATTACTGAACAATCACAAGTCACAATAAAGTGTCACAGAGCCAGCTGTCTCCATTTGAAAAGTTATACTGGGATGCATTGTGCACACACTTTCATGTGCATACTTGCCCACACCTGTAGCCTACCTTGTAGCCAGAGAGGACAGGATGTGTGACCAAAGACCTGCACCAAAACATGTCCAGGTGAACCAACTTGCTGGGCTCCTGTCTCCAGAGTCACAGGATCAATGCCAACTCCTTATTTACTCTTCAGTGTTGCTCTGGACAGCTACTGGGTTGGGCTCCTCCAGGAATAGTGCCCTGAGGTGACTAGAGATATGTCACGAGCTGGAGCTGTTCTCTGAGTGGAAGAGTCTCAAAGAAGGCCTGCCTGGAGTGGGCAGTCAGCAGACAAGAAAGGCCATCACTAGATCGGATTGTGGGGATTTTTCTCCCCTTTGTGTTGTAGACTAAATTTTTCTTTCTTTTTGTGTAGACTAATTTTTTTTTCTACAGTAAATATGTTTTTGCAATAAGAAGTTGTTTTCAAAAACAGCAGATAGCCTTGCAATGACTGGCAGCTGCATACTGGGGAATATAGAGACACATCAGAAAATAATGGGGCAGAACGCTGGACTCAGGCCAGAGTAGAGTCATATCATTGGAGAACTGAAAGCAAATTTAAAGAAACCAACCTTGTAGGTTCATGGGCTGCTTGGAAACTTGCTCAAGCATCTGCTTTTCTAAGTTTAAAAATAATAAACTGAGATATTGGCACAAAGCTAAAATATGATTCATATAAAAAACAAACCCTCAGAGGCTGGAGGTTTAAATCAGCACTAAGCACACAGGAGGCTCTGGGTTCCATCTCCAGAACTGAAAAACAAAAATATAAACCTGTGCAGGGCTGTGTGGCTAGGGCAGTGCAGTGTCTGGAAGCCAGTCAGGAAATCTGTAGTCTCACACAGAGAGGACAGGATGTGTGACCAAAGGCTAGCTCCCCACATGGGACAGTGGGGAGACGAGGAGAGGCAGCTGAGGGGTGCAGCCCCATCATTACCTGCACCTTCTTAGCAACATTCAGTGTGAGCCTGAGGTGGTCAGAAGATACTGCCCCGAAAGAAACTGTGCATTCATATGGGCAACCAAGTTTCCTCCCAAAGCCTCCAATTTTCAGCCAAGCTTCAGAAGGGGTGGATGACATCAACTCAAGCCAACACACTGCCAGGGCAGGTGAAGAAAAGCAGAGACAGACAGCTGGTACAACCACTGGCACCCTACTGCCACCCAACTGCTTCTCTAGTACATGTGCTCTGGGAGGAAGCTTGCAGGCAGCGGGTAAGGCAAGTGACTCAGCTGTCCCTGGAGGCTGGCAAATGACAGAGCACCACCCAGGACACCATCTGCTGCAGCCTCGCTCCTCACTTTGCTCCTATGTCAACACCCTTGATGGCAGGGGCTGGATGGATACCCTGGGTAAGCAGGGAGTACACCGGACTAGGCCAGAGGCAGGGAGGCTCTAAGCCAGAGATCAGCACTCCACATCACAGCAGCCCCTGCAGCCTTCAGAATTCAGAGGCCAGAGATCGGCATCTGCCATCCAGCCAAAGGCAGGGCCTCAAGGGACTATGGGTGCAGTGCACACTGAGGGAAGAGTCAGAGGGGACTGTGGGAATACTGCATGCTTGAGGGATAGGTACAGGGGACTGTGGGCATGCTGCATGCTGAGGGGATGACCACAGGACACTGTGGATGGGTTGCATGCTGAGGGATGCAGCTGAATTCCAGCTAGGGGGGAGCTGCCCTCTACAGTCAACCCACAGACCACAAGGAAACACTCAAGTGACAGGTGGGACAGGGATAGAATAAGTGACTGAGAACCCAAGTCACAGAGGCTGAGACAGGACTGAAGCTTGCATCCCTCACAAATCAGGGTGGAGCTTGCAATCCAGAGCTGGTCATATGTTCACCACTGAGAGGGAAGGGCCTCCTCTGTCCTGTCTCCAGGGTGTCCTCCATGTTTGACATTCTCTCTGCGCTCCCCGCCTTACCCCCAAAGTTCCACTGTGACTGCTGGAGCTCCAGCCTCCAGGTCAACACTCCATCAACCTGGGCTGAGAAGGCCACCACCCCACCTGACTCCAGTCCAACCTGCCCCAGCCTCCTCCCAGCTTTGGTACCAGCTTAACACAGAGCTGTAGCAACTGGCAGCTGCCTCCTGGGATACCACCTGGGAAATCATTCTTCAAGCAGGGTCAGGTAAGAGGGAGAATGCTGTGTGCTGGGGAAGATGTCTGGCCATCCACAGCATGTAGAAAGAGAAGAGGGAGGACAGCCACTCCCCTGGGACTAACCTAGGGAAGCCCAGAGAGCTGGAAAAGCAGTAGGAGGCATGGGCATAGCTGCTAACCAGCTAGATATAGAGGAGGCTGTGGAGCCAATTATTACAGAGCTGCAGAGCTGGGAACAGGAGATGCCTAGTTCCCTGGACAGACTCCAGTAGGTGCATCTTTTGCTCTTGTTTAAATTTCCCCTAAGTGCAGCTGTCCCCAGAGAGGAAGGGAACCATTGTGAGGGTGGCAAGTGGCATCTCTGGAGCCCTTTCTGCACTCTGGGACCTTGAGCAGGGTCCTTGACTGAAGGAAGGTAGTCATCTACCAATGTCATGAGCAGATCCAAATACATTTGTGTCTTCCCACAAAGTCAGAATTTATTAAATGACAATAAATTCACAATATTTAACATTTCCAATGACAGCAATTTGTCATGTAATATTCCTGCCTTGGTAACCTCGCCAAGGCGAATGCAGGTTCTTTTATTGCAATCTTAGTTCCTAATATTAACTCTCAGACTGACCACACAATACACAGTAGATATATCTATTTTGATGTACATATATGTGCGTTACAGAATGAATACAAGTTAAAGAGGTTACAGCAGAGTTCAGTCAGGTTTCAGAAGTGAGCTGAGAAAGAGTCTGTATTGATAAGATTCTTCAAGCAGGGCCAGGTGAGAGGGAATATATTGATAAGATCAGTACTAGGAGGAAGCTGCTAGTAGAAACTGCTGGTTTAGCTGCTGGAGTCAGGTTGGAGAGTGAAACTGCAGAGGTCAGCTCTGACGTAAAAGGCTGAGTCAGAATCTGAAAGCAAAAAACGCAGGCAGAAGCAGGAAATGGCAGATCAGGTCCAGATGGGCAAACATGCGGAGAGAAAAGCAGTAGAGTAGGCCTTGTTAACAGCAGTGGGCCTAGCAGAGACAAAGCTGCAGCAACAATCAGGCAGGCAGTCCTCAGTCCTTGACACATGCTCCAGGTATCATGTGATGGGTTGGTGCAGGGCCATGATGACAGGTTGGTGCAGGGCTATGCCATTGCAGTGTTAGGTATTCATCATTCTATAGGGTCCAGGTAAGGGAGTCATACCCTTTTCTTGGTCTGGCACATCCAGTTCTTGAGCCTAGTTTCCCCAATAGGATTTTAATCCTCCACTCATGTCTCAATTCACCCTGATAAACTTATAGGGTGGCTCCCTTCCTATAAATAAATTTATCAGTGTGTGCTGGATCTGTGGTGCCTGATAAATGATACAGTTATTGGTTCTTCTTGCTGTAAGACTCCTTCTCCCTCAAAATGGAGTCAAAAGTTGCTTATAAAATGGAATCTCCCAGGGTAAGGCACAGCCTGAAAACAACTGTTTTATACAATATGGAGTAACTTAGATCCAGGCATAACCAGATCTCAACACACACACCCGGCTCATGGTCAGTTCCATCTTCTTCACTCTCAGTGACATTTTCAGTGATTGGCCAATTCCTCCACTTTGGAGATGTGTCATTGATGGGTTTCTCAGTATCCTCCTCCTCATCTCTCTCCATCGCTGTTAGTCTCATCCCCTAGACCCCACAAATGAAGATATTCCTCACTAACTGGCCACCCTGTCTTTGGAAGCTCTCACTTGGATACCATCCACCACCAGCTCCTACTTTCCATATGAGCAACTCCAGTCCTGACTCCTACCCTGGACTCAGCCTCCTTGGACCAGTCAGATGGCATCCCTGCCAGGTGCGCCACCATCTGACAGCCCAGCACCAGCTCTCAACAGTCTCACTTCCCCTACCTTGATGTCTTCCTGGGCGCTCTAGACTCCCCTCCTATCCACAGACAAAGCTGGTGGCTCTTCTGTCTGTCCCAGACAATTGAGGTGTCAGTGATGGAGTTTTGTGGCATCTAGAACTCAGAGCTGAAGATCAGAGCTGCCTCCTGCCACAGAGCCTGGGTCTGTCCTGAGAAGAGAACTTGGAAATTATTGTGTGAAGGGCCCTCCTAGGAACCCATACTGCTCAAACCAACTCCCATGAGGAGTTATGACAGGTGAAGACAGCACACTAAAGGCCATCAGATCTTTCTCAGCCTTCTAGCCACTTGGTGGGCACAAATGGTCAGTTCCCAGCATGCAGGCATCTGAGAGTTCCAAAGTCGACAGGCACCTGAGGGTAAAATGTATGACGCTTCATGCACATGACTTCTGTGAAGGGCAAATGGTAGTGTCATGGCTGGCTAATCACCCCATTCTTATTGGGCAGGTGTTTGGGTTAATGCATGGGGCACTGTGATGTGCCATTGTCAGAGGAAGATGTCATGCAGGTCAGTAATCATGACACAGAACTCTCTGCCCCAGACAGACCTCAGCACAACAATTTATCCCCTGGCCTCGGTCAGTAAGTAGCTGATGGGGACAGATGCACCCAGAGGCAGTATTGATGGTCATGGCCCCTTGCCAAAGACAGAATCTCTCAAGAGTTATAGAGGCTGAAGTTGGTCTAAGGAGGCAAGAGCATGTATCACAACTGCAGAGAGTCAGTTGCTTCCTTAGAGCATGTTTATTTCTTCATCCTGAAAGTCGATCCCTCATTGAGTGCCAAGGTCCAAACAACTCCCAGGAAAAGCACAAGTGCACATCTTTGGGCTGCTGTCTCTGCTCCCTCTCTCCCTGCATCCCCTCCCCCCATCACCAACCTCCTACAGTGTTCAAGGTCCCAGAGGGTCCAAGGATGGTGTCAAGGCAGAATCTTGGAACACCAACTTTCCTTCCCCCCAGAGGATCATGATATTGTCAGAATAAAGTGATATGTCTTGGAACTGTTGAGTGTGAAGAACTTTCTGGATTTACGGTAGAGAATCTCGTGTCTCCATGTATGAGGATCACCTGAGGGTCTGATAAGACCCAGCTCACTAGGACCCAGCCCAGAATTTCTGACAAGTCCAGGGTCAGAGCTGACAGTCTGTGTGTCTACAAGCTTCAGGTGATACTGATGGTGCCAGGTACTCCAATTTGAGAATCAGTGGATTTAGTGAGAGAGGAGCAAGGTTCCACTACAGCACAGGACATGGCTAGGCTTTTCAGTGCACAGTGAGGACACAAAGAACAGCCACACAGGACTAATGCTAACCTGAGATACGAGGGAGGGTCAACTCCAGGTACCTGACAGTGGGGCAGAATTCTATGAGTCAACATGAGCAGGTCCCTGAATGGCAGCTCTTCAGACTGACCAATCTCTGGGCATTGAGAATGGAAACAATGGTAAACAAAAGATTCAAAGAGCTGGCACTGGGCCTGGACAGATGGTTCAGTGCTTAAGAGCAGAGCACCCATATTGGGTGCTTATAACTATAGCTCCAGAGGATCTGATGCCCTTTTCTAGTTTTTTGGACACACACACTCACACACACACACACACACACACACACACACACACACACACTCTTAAATTTTTTTTAAAAAAAAAAAAAGCACGCCGCGGGCGGGGGGGGGGTGCACAGGAGCA